TAAAATCCAACAAAATCATTTGATTCCGATTAAGGATTAAACCAAATCACTTGATGTTAAATTATTTCTTATAATATATATATAATTCATTACTTTATTAGTGTATATTATATTGGTCCAAAACAATTGTTGCACATTATAAATAATAAAATAAATAAGTTTTTAAAATTTTTTGTAGGGTTTAGCTTATAATGAAATTTAAATATTTGTATTTTTTAGACTACTCATTACCCATATTAACCATCATTAACTCATGAAATAACAGTTATTAAAACTCTAACGTTCATTTACATTTTTTTACTTCAGTGTTTGAACACCCAAATACATTTAGTACTCAAAACCCGAATAAATGATTTGGTTGGAAATCCCTGAATGAAAGTTAAAGTAAAAACATTCAAAAAAACTATTAATTATTTATATTCTTCACATTTGTCTAGTAGAACAAAAATTTGTAAGTAAGCTATTAATCACATACATTTTAATGGAACTAATCCTAAAATTTTCATTCCACAACTAAGTGTTTCTCTTGCTCTGCAGAACAACAAAATTCTTTGCTGAGCAACAATACTGCTAGAATTTTTAACATTTAAAACTTTTAAAGCTTTGTTGATGCAATTGGATAATCGAAATAAATAGTTGACTAAAATACATGCTTCTAATTCCTGGTTTGTTTCATTTAATATATCTTCAAATCTGAAAAACAAAATAATATTATAATTTAATTATTACAAAATAAGAGGTAAGACAATGTTATTAATTTTCAATCAACTGCAATTTAAAAGATCAGAAAGGCTGATTGATGTTTTTTTTTATTTACTTTATAGTTTTTAGGCAATATATTCATTATATTATGTTAAATCAAAGATTAATGAATACAAATTTTAGTTTTTTATGAGACTTACTCGAGATCAAATATCTTATATCTTACATTTTTAGACTTGAACAAACAAATTAAAAAAWTTTCAAATTGCTACATTCAATGGTGAATTTAAATTTAAAAAATGAAAAAAAGTCAACAACAAATCAACAACAAGTAGACTTTCCATCAAATTTGTAACCATCAGTAATTATTTTCAGAATCATATAAAAAAAATGATTGGCATATCAGAAATATAATCAATGTGTAATAGGTACTATAACAGTAGTGGGTTGAAGGGCTCAAATTTTCAAAGGGGGTGGTGACTGTGGCGCAGAATTATATACTAAGGCACAACCACTTGGCTCTTTCGACTACATTTTATTTGCATTATAACTTTGTTGTAATTAAAAAGGGGGATAGTGGTGGTAAGTACAAAATAATGAAAATTCTTTCATTTAAAATGTATGTACAGTTTGTCACTTCACTATAGTAGTTGATAAAAATTATTGTCTATTGATTAATTTATATTGTTAAAAATAACTTACCGACATATTTCTAAAATTAAGTCTAATGCGACAGTTTCAGTAAAGCATTCAGGAACAACATCATCTGGTAAGGTTACATTAGAATTAACATCTTCTAGACTTATTAAACGGCAATGTGTATATTGAAGTTTAATGCCAGTATCTCCATTCACCTAAAAAATAAATTAAACTATCGATAACTGTATTGGAAAAATACAGAAAAATTATTATTATAGAATTATATAAAGACCAAGAAACAATAATTAGAGAAAGAGTTTGTCAGAAACCAAAAAAAGAGCGAAACAAGACTGTTTTTGGTCACCCTACTTATTCAATATATTCATAGAAGTTGTTCAAGTATTCAAAGTACAAACAATGGTATAAAAATAAATGGAAAAGTAATCCATTGTGTCAAATTTGCTGATGACATCTATGGCAACAGAGATAGCGAAAGCTATGCAACAATCAATAGATAAATTTAATGAAATWTTAAAATGATACTTGATGAAGAACAATATAAATAAAATAAAAGTCAAGTTACGGTAGTAAGTAAAAAAAAGAGTACCCACTGAGACAGGTACAACAGTATAAATATTAAGAGGACGTGATACCCGCATGTGTTGTCTCCGTCTTACAAGTACATTATATRGTAAATTTTACGTTCAGCCGAACACGTGTAGCTCCGTTTGCTTAAAAATTAGGGTAAATTGACCTCTTATAAAATTTAAAGGTATGATTGTTATCTAGACAACCTCATATGCTTTTTATTATATTTACATTTTAAAGGAAGTTATGAGTATTTTAAGATGCACAAAAAATTTACAATTTTAAAATACTCATAACTCACTTTAAATTTAATATATAATAAAAAGCATATAAAGTTGTCTAGATAATARTCTTACCTTTAAATTTTATAAGAGGTCAGTTCACTCTAATTTTTAAGCAGATGGAGCTACATGTATTCTGCTGAATGTWAAATTTACTATATAATGTACTTGTAAGACATTTGAGTACAACCCCAGGCGTTAAAGAGAGAAAAGTGGAAGTCAATTTTTTCATTTTGACAAGATTTAGCTTTTCGAATTGAGGAAAAGAATATTTGAAAATATTTAAGCATTTAACAAAAATACATGTTTAAAATAACTATTCAAATATTAAAAAAAAAAAAGCGGGTCAGTCGTGTATGTCGCTCTGCTGTACAGTAGGTTACTGTAATGGATGGGATTAAATTTGAATGCAATGATAGGTATCATAGTATACGAAAAACGATTCTGAACGGAGATGATTTGTCAGTCTAGGATATATTATATTTAAATATTGTCACATATTATATTTTGAAACAAATATTTTATTTTTCAATTAAGGCGCATTTTGCATAAGGCACGGTTAATCCACAGAATAGATAAAATCAATTAGTGTAGTTATCATATAGTTGTCATAATTCATAATACCTTATATTATCATAGATATACGAATACCTGGTTTGAGGATAAATAGTTATCATTACCGCGATTTCATAAAAATTTAAAACTCAAACGCTCAAAA